AAGTAAGCAAAAAAGTGAAACCAACAAAACAATGGATCGACTTCTATGGACTAGAGGGGGTTGGGGTGGGGGTGAATGGTCCTAACAAAAAAATTACTCCAAAATTTAGTTGGCAAAGTTAGCTATTTGTACTTGGAATCTTAGGAACACCTACACGTGCAACTCTACAACAACATATGAATGCAGAAGCGAAACTTGCAAGAGAGTAGTGGGGTAAAGAAAAGGGATTGCAAACACAATTGACATTATGATTTTTTCCCTACTCTTTGGTGGAGGTTCGAACACGAATCCTAAGATGCATAAATGCCTCGTTGGCATCACCCACAAACAGAAGAAAAGGGATTGCAAGATTGCAAACACAATTGACATTGTGATTTTTTTCCTACTCTTTGGTGGAGGTTCGAACACGAATCCTAAGACGCATAAATGCCTCGTTGGCATCACCCACAAACAGTTAATAAAATGCATATTCCATCATGGCTTGCTGCTAGAAAATGTTATGCTCAGAGGTACAAGACCTAATAGAGATGGTGTCAATTGAAAAGGAGTCCGTTGGTATGCAAGAGAATTTCTTGGCAGTTCCGAAGCAAACTTGGAAAACATAAAAAACATTCATTCCACATACAACTAGTAGTATCGAGTAGAAATAATACTTGAAAGTATCAGAAAAGCTAAAACCCCAGGAATTTGAGTGGAAAACTTGAGGATTTGGTTTAAGATTTTGAGATATAGTTCATTCCTAATTAACTTGCATATTATGTTTTTGATAATATGATTGTTCTACAATGTGAATTGTGAATTCACCATAAGAATATAACAATACAAACTATCAGCTTGAAGGACGAGACGTGGCTCGATGGTTGGGGTTGGCAGTGGCCACCCTGCCCGCCCAAGATCGATCCCTAGGATCGACGTGGGTGTCTCACTTGGGGTATTTTCCCCTTGCAGGTACATCACACATCTACGAGCTATTCACGGAGTTGGATGACTTCGGAAGTTTCTTAAGACGTGTCGCATGTGTATAGATTATAGATCTTGGTAGACACATAGCAGGTGTGTTTAGTGGGGTGGGTGCGTGCATGTGGTGTTGTGTGTTGTGCGCCTGGTTATGACCTATATCCATGCTAAAAAAGGATGGTATCACCAATGATGTTTCAACTCAAAAACATGTCTAAGTTCGTCATTTTAATTGTATTTGTCTTGTCATTAATCATCAAAATCTGATTCTCACCAAAAAAAATCATCAAAATCTAACGGTGAGCACGGCTAGACCGTGCTCCCATTAGGCTGGTCATAGTGGAGAGTAACTTAGACTAGTAACATACATATGTTACTAGTCTATGTTACTACCTTCATAGTGGGTAGTGTCATAGGTGTGGTAACATAGTTGCCTTCATTTATTACTTTGTAGACTCATTATGCATTGGAAACCGCTATGTGATGGTAACATATTATGTTACTCTATTTGCCTCTCTTCTCATTAACTACTTGCCACATCACCAATTTTGCTTATGTGGCATCTATGTTACTACCTATGTTACTCCCACTATGACCAGCCTTACGTTATAAAGCTCTCAATTTCCCACGCAAAATTATTATTGTTTTAAATAAAGCTCTCAATTTCTAGAAAAGTTAAAAAATAAAGCTCTCCATTCTCTATTTCGCCTCATGTAAGATTATCTCCTAAATAAGAGCGTCCTTTCCACTCTGTTGAGCGTAAGCCATGACCTCGCAGCAGTCACCGCCGCCGCCGGCGGCGAAGTCACAGCGACCACCCGCTCCCACCACCGTAACCGCTCTCGACGATGATCTCCTCCGCGAGATCTTCCTCCGCCTCCCCTCCCTACCGACCCTTGTCTGTGCGGCCCTCAGCTGCCGCACCTTTTTCCACGCCGTCCGGTCGTCCCCCGCCTTCCGCCGCAGCTTCCGGGAGGCCCGTCCACCACCTCTCCTCGGCCTCTTCTTCGACCCCGACGGCCCCTCCATCCCCGCCTTCGCACCCCTCCGCCGCCGCTCCGACCCTGACCTCGCCGCCGTCGTCCGCGGCGCCGATTTCTTCCTCACCCGCCTCCCCGACGACGACGACGACGACGACGACGCCTTACCGGAGTGGGTCATACAAGACTGCCGCGACGGCTACGTCCTCCTCGAACACGGAAGCCTGGAGCAGTACGCCGTCTACAACCCCCTCACACGGGCCCTGGATCTCATCCCCCAGCCGCCCGACGAGATCTTCGACGACGGGCACGGCGTCGCCTCCTCTCTTGGGTGCTACATCCTCTCCTCCGAAGAGGGCGGCGAAGCGCTGCGCCTGGTCTACACCTGTTACGATGAGTCGCGGGCGCGTGCCGCCGTCTTCTCATCAGAAAGCAGGGAGTGGCAGATGCTCCCGTGGTCCGAGCCTGTGACGCCACTGCCTGAGGACGAACACTGGCTTCAACTTGGCACAATGGTGAATGGGTTCGTCTACTGGATACACAAAAATCTAGCCTACATTCTCGTGCTGAACACCGCGACACTGCAATTCTCCCAGGTGGATGTGCCGCGAGTTTTGGTGGGTCATGATTTAATGTTTAAGGTTGGCGAGACCAAGGATGGAAAGCCTTGCATTGTCTGCCCAGTTGATTTTCATCTTTTTGTCTGGGTCTGGCGAGCCGGTCATGATGGAATTGAGAAATGGAAATTCCACAAGAGGATTCCGTTGGAGACGATTGTCGAGGTCACCGACGGTACACTTGACGAGCATTCTGAACTGAAGGTTTTGGCCATTATTGGTGGATTTGTGTACTTCTGTACCATGGATATGTTGGTTGACGCAAATGATCCTTGTTGGTTCCTGTCTCTATGCATGGAGACAGGAGAGCTGGGCACGCTCTTTCGGAGGAGATTCGACGGCCATGTCCACCCCTACATCATGGCATGGCCTCCTTCTTTGATAGACAACAAGGTGAACCCTCAACTTGAAGGTGCTTGACAAAATGCGGACAAGGTATCCTGACATTTCCTTCGTTTGGCCACTAGATGGTATTGTAGTAATGATATGTTCGAGGTGACGATAAAAAAAAGGTTGTTTTTGTTTGTGACACGGGTAAATTGGAGTATCTATATTTTGTAGCATTCGCCAAATGCTTGCTTATGTTTTTATTTTTCATTTGATACTTATTTTCTTTATCATGCCCAAGGTCCAGCAGTACTAAGTTTAGTAGTAGCGCAGGCTCGGCAATATGCCGATTTATTTGTTTGCAAATGTTAAAGTCCCTTCACTTTCCACTGTGCCATTCAGCACAAGTCTATGGCTCTATATGACTGCCTGCATTTTTGAACATATGGCATTCCACCTCCTTTGAGACCGAGATTCCACCTTTTATCTGTAGCGTTGTAATTTCTATCCTATACCTATGTTGTGTTGTCCGTTGGACAGAATTTAGACTCTTCATATGTAAATGCCTGTAAGAGGTTCCACTTGGCCTTTTTATTTTCTCCCAATCACTCCATTGTTTTGTTTTCCCTCTCATTCACCTTATTTTTGAAATGAGATACCTATCCATCTACTTGAATACAATATTCACTTCCAATTTGGGATTCTTCCCATGAAATAGTTTACATTTTGAACTCCTGTTGATAAGATTAAAATAAGAAATTCGGTTTTGAAACCCACTAAAAATAGGGCAGAAAATAGGTTAGCTGGAGACAAAGGATGATATTGACAATTCGTGGTTGACTTGCTCTGGTTAAATCATGCCTTAGCAACATGCTCTTTTACATCTAGGGGTCAGAAAGGGAACAGATTTTTTCAGAGCATAGTTCCTATGGTACGAAGACCAACATATTAGGAAATACTCCCTCCGTCCCTTATTACTTGATGCTCAAACGGATGTATCCATCTAGATATATCCGTTTGAGCGTCAAGTAATAAGGGACAGAGGAAGTATCATTTAGTAGGCTGGCCTATATTTGTAGACCCAATGAACAAGTTGACTTGGGGGTTTTGGATCTTCAAATGATGAATAAGGTCTTACTAGCAATGGCTCTGCGAACTTGAGACCTAGGATCACCTCTGGCAGAAAAGAGAAATACGGCAAAACCATTGCATTACTGGTATTAAACAAATAAATGGAGATTCTCAATTTTGGTCAGGTTTCCCTGACATGAAAGATTCATTCTATAAGCATAAGAATTGTCGGGGATGGAACCACCATATTCTGGAAAGAACTACTAACCTCATCTCTCCTTTCATATGCTATATGATATCTGTCTTAGTCTCGACATTTCTGTTTTTGAAGTGATAAATGAAGGGTGGGATGCCATCTTTATAAGTAGGGCATATGATCAATAGCTAAAGCAAAACAGGACATATGATCACATCCCCCCTTTTAAGAATAGGATGGAAGGTTGATATGCATCGTCAGATTTTTGTCAGGATGAGACCATTGACCATTTATTTCTATCCTGTTCACTTGCAAGGTTTGCCTGTAATATAATATCATGTGTTTTTAATCTCTATTTTGTTAGCACAATTTTTTTGAAAAAGGAAGACTTCTAGAGAAAGAAATTGCAAAATCTAGTTTTTTTTTGTCTCCGTCTAATTTGTCGGACATTGTCAGTAGCAGACTGTAAGCTATCATCTGGTTATTGGATATATAAATTGGCACATTATTTTCCAAATAAAGAGCATGCGTGTTATATTCCTGACTAAGAACTATCAGACATGCACCTCAAGAGAATCCAGTCAAGAAAGTGTGACTAACACATGCAACATTCCTACCTGCAGACTAGTACTATGAACCGTATTCGTTCTCCACTTGCATACATGCATGTTGAATTCTTAGCGTATCTTCCTCATGCCTCCAGCTCTTTGCCAGGAAGCTACAGTCCATACAAACAGGGCCATAGCCTCTCGTATGTCTATGTAAACCCATAAAGCAAGCTATAGACTATACTGTGTTCTTATACACAATGACAGTTTAATAAAAGAAGAGAAATGAGATCTCCACCATCATCTATTTACACAATTTGCATCTCATCCCCCTTAGTTTTGGCCTGACTTCCTCCGCTATCTTGACAATTGCGAAGAACAGGACCCTGTACACTACCATCATCCCACAAAGGATGGCAATGTTGACCCACTTGGAGTACCCCATCTCCACCTGCAGCTTCTCTTGCAGCACCCAAAGGCCACTGATGGTGACATTCTTCTCGACCAGCTGGTCGCTTGGGAACGTCTGCCCTATGAACTCGTTCTTGTAGAACCCCTGCACCGCGTACTTGTGGAAGGAGATGTAGTAGCAAGGGTACTTCCACACTGGCTTCGGGAGTTCGTTGGGGAGGCGGAAGAAACCGCCATTGAGCATCATCACCCCTTGCACCCCGGCCCCAACAATGATCCCCATCAGGAAGTCTGGGACAATGACAGCGATGATCATCATCATGCTCTCCACCAGCAGTGTGCACATGCACAGGTTGATGACGAAGTAGGCGAAGCGGTCAGGACCTTTCATTAGCCCGGTGAGGTAATACAGCATTGCGCCGGGGATCACGGCGATGACGGCTAGGTATGGAGTGGCCGACAGCGTGTTTGAGATCACAAACTCCGCCACGCCGTAATGGCCGCTTAGCCTCTCCCTTCTGAATACCTAGAAATAAAGTGTGCAGCCAGGCTTTATTTATTTATTTCAGACTTTCAGTATAGAGTGAATGTGTGGACATATAAGTGCTCTTATGAAAATGTTAGTCTGATGGCAGAGAGAAAGCAACCTTTACATCCTCTACAAAAGAAGGGAATCCTCCAATAGCCATGAAAGTAATAAGTGCTGTCGTATACATTATGACTTCACATCTAGACTGAAAAATCAGGGGAACAAATCAGTTTTGTTGATATATAAAATATTTTATGTTGCCTAATGAATCATGTCTTACAGAATTCACCTGGATGGAACTGTAACTGTGGCCAACTTGGTAGAATATAGTGCCAAGACAAATGCCAATGCCCAGGTAAACACCCAAACGCATCCAGTAGTATCCTATGTCCCTGTGCATATTCACAAATGACCTTCTGGTGAGCACAAAGAGCTTTGTTGAGAAGCTGGCTTGTTCCCTCTTCCTAAATGGAGCTCCACCCTGGAATATAGCTCAAATATTAGAACAAGAATTTGATCTTGAATGTGTAAACATCGCTAGGTCAGCACCATATACTCCATGGCAAGAAGTTTGTTGCCGGTTCATTGAAATGAAAATTGACATGATCTTATACAGGTTCTGAATTAATATGTTACTCCCTTCAGCTGAACTTTGAAAACATTGACCACCAGTATGTTTTGAATATTCAGATTGGACATCATATGCATTTGTTGAAAAATATTTCCAACATGCTATAACTTTACTAGGTATTATATACTCCCTCCGATCCAAATAAGTGTCGTGGTTTTAGTTCAAATTTATTTTGTATCGGAGGGAGTACATATTATACTACAACAGACACAAGTGGCCAAAGTTACATTTTGAAGGCCGTGAAAATGTCTAAACGCCACTTTTTGCTGAACTAGAGGGAGCATTTCACTGACTGAATTTATCCTAATAATCAATTTACAGTTACTATATACAGGTTAGTCCACATTTGGGTGATCTCTTTTTTGTAACCACACATCTTGACAATTTTGGCCAAAACAATACAATCTTTATTCCTGAGAAAAAATAATCTAAATGGGGCCTGTAAGCAACTTACTATCCCTTTCATCTCAGCTATCCGGTCCATTGTTTTCTCTGAATAAGCGGGGGACTGGTAAGCATCTGTCAGGATCTCTATTGCTTCGGCTGCCGGTTTTCTCCTAGCTTTGGAGCTCTCAACAATTTCCTGCATGGATATGGGATCACGTAGCTAAAGTATAACATACTGTACTTTATGTTCAGACTGTCATACAAAGAAATGACGAGGAAAAATAGGTACTACCTCGTCAAAATCTTTGTTGATTGTCCTCAGGAAGTGGTCAGAAGGGTTCCTCAGGTGTGGGCATGGGAAGCCACTTTCAGTGAAGAACTGGTACAGGAAATGAACACCAAAACAACCTGTAAACCCAACATTTCCATGGAGAAAAGAGGGATTTGTCATTTGTAAAATGCAGTATCCTCACCTGGGTGGCGTCGGAGGCTGGTCCGAAGAAGACGGTCCGGCCGTAGGCGAGGAGGCAGAGGCGGTGGAAGAGGTCGAAGACGTCGCCGCAGGGCTGGTGCACGGCGGCGACGACGGTCATGCCCTCCCTCGCAGCGACCCTGGCGATGTGGCTCATGACGTGGTAGGAGGCGGCGCTGTCGAGCCCGCTGGTGGGCTCGTCGAGGAAGAGCAGCCGCGGGCGGGTGAGCATCTCGACGCAGATGGTGACCCGCTTCCGTTGCCCGCCGCTGATGCCCTTGGTCATCCGCCCGCCGATGCGCGTGTCCATGGCGTCCCCCAGCCCCATCTCCCGGATCACGGCGTCCGCGTGCGCCCGCTTCTCCTCCGCTGACATGCTCCCCGGCAGCTGCAGCTGCGCTGAGTAGTAGATGGCCTCCCGCACCGACATCGTCGACATCAGCACGTTGTCTTGGGTCACGTAGGCCTTCAAGTTCAGTTCACAGCATCCAGTCGTTAGCTTGGACTACACATTGATCGTATCGTACGCTACCACTACTCAACAAATTGCTAATATTGAAAACAAGCATTGGAAGCATGAAACAAGATAGAAAGCAGATGTGCTTGCTGGCAGGGCAAAATGCATAATGTTACTGGTAGGGTAGATTCACCTTGGTACAAGCATGTCTTAGTAACATGCCACTGTACGTGATGTCCTTCTACCCCATTCCTGTGGGTGTTAGGAAGAGATGTAGCTTCCTTAGAGCTAGAACAGTACTCCCTCCGTCCGGAAATACTTGTCGGAGGGATGGATGTATCTAGACGTATTTTGGTTCTATATACATCCATTTTTATGCATTTTTTCGACAAGTATTTCCGGACGGAGGGAGTATATAGCAAGACAGATGATAATAAAAAGAAATACCACTTAGTTAATTGGGCGACTGTTTGTAGATCTAAAAAGCAAGGAGGCCCTGGTGTTCTTAATTTAACTTGGAATGCATGTCTGTGGCAAACTGTTCTACTTGACAAGTATGCCAAGAATGCATGTGTCTGCAGTTCATCACACAGTTAGGCGTTCCCTATCTGGTCCAGCCTGAGAAGTGTTAAACATTTGTTCTATACAAATTGCAAGAAGATTATGGGGAATGGTATAAATACCAGGTTTTGGGAGTATTGGTGGATAGGTTCTAAACCTTTTGTGCCAGTCTCAATGAAGGTTATACAATACCTGTTTTGGTAAGAACATCTCTTCTGCTGCTGGGATGGTGTCAATTTTAGGAGAGCTCTTTGTGGGTGATTCTTCGGTGCTTTGGGAAAGTATAAAAGATGATTGTGAGGATGTTGTTTCAAATGATCAAAGGTACACTGCGAGGTGGACGCTTACCACTAATGGTAAACCCGCAGCCAATTCTCTTCATCAGAAAATGATATTGAACAACTCTTTAACTTCCCGCAACAATTCATGTGGAAAGTTGAGGCCCCTCCCAAAAATCAAGGTTTTCATTTGGCCGATGACTAAAAAGGTGTATTCCGACCAAAGATGGCCTGCTGAGGAGGGTATGGATAGGTAGTAAGGCTTGCACATTTTGTGGTCAAGATAAAAGTGTAGATCATTTTTTTCTTTTCTTTAGTTGCTCTGTTGCTGGACTTCATCTTGAGTTTATGGCAGTGCGCTTTGAATCTTACTCCTGCCCCTGTTGATCTGAACCATTTGCTTTGGAGCTTGGCCAAGGAGCTTTTCAAAGAAGCATACATTCTTAGTTACTGTTGGAATCACATCTGTGTTTTTAGGCTGTTTGGAGACGCGGAAATGATGTATGTTTTAATGACAAAGAGGACCAATGGCCCCTTTGCACAGTTGTCAGTCCATTCCGCTTCCAAGTGGCTGATGCTGCCTTTGGTTTCTTCCTGGCCAGAAGCTATTACATGTTGAATCCACCCTTGTTTGTGCGAAACGCTCCCTCCGGGTTGAATAAAAAGACACGGCTGTAATTCGCACTACTGATCTAGAGGGTGTTTGGATACGTTTTAGTTCCATGACTAAAAGTAGTGGGACTAAAACTTGTTAGCATCATCCATGTTTGGATCTAAATACTAAAGAGATTAAAATCAAGTTAATGAGCATTTATTATCCTTCAAGGCCTCCAATCGAGAACTCGCATGTGTTAAAGGAGGAGAGTTAAATGAGGAGAGAGAGGACTAATCCACATTTTAGTAGGGGTACCCTTGACTAAAAAAAATTAGTCTCAAGACTAGTTTTAGTCCCTCTTTAGTCAGGGGTGCTTGAAACTTTAGCCTCTTAAAAAGACTATTTTTAGTCAGACAAAATAAGTCCATTGGATCAAGCACCCTCCTAATCTTTTCTTTTCCAGATTTCCCTTTGCTTCAGATCAGGTTGTTTTTATTTCTCCAGTTGTGGTTTGTGTCGAACCGTGGTTTCTTTTAATGGAAATCGGAAGGGGAAGCCCCTCTTTTGCCCCAAAAAAAAAACTACGAGAGAGCACCAAAGCCATTTTTCTCTAGTCTCACGTACCGAGGTTCCGAAGGCGAGCTTCTCCCGGCGGCCATTGATCAGGATCGACCCGGTCTCGGTGATCCCGGGCCCCAACCTTCCTGCGACGGAAGGAAAAGAAAATCAGCTTCGGTGGTTAAAACCAGGTACCTGTGGTAGACTGGTAGCTCAGGAAGTTAACACTCTGAATCAAACATTCTGCAGTGCTGCACATGCGCATGTACTAGTACCACGTCTGAATTTTTATCTAGTACCATTACCACGTCTGAGTCGTTTGTTGGTTGCGCTAACTCCTTTGGCTGAATGATGCTTTTATTATGTCTCCGTAGACAAAGAAGAAAAACAAACCGACAGAGCAATAAAGCACGTATCTCGGAAAGAAAGCTTTGACGTGGCGTGACCCGATCGAGCCGCTCCCAGTCCCGTCCATCCACACCTCTCGAACCTTCGTGTAGGCCCGTTTCATTCATGCGGCAGACGACAGGCACAGTGAGCATCAGGGAAGGAATGGATCAGGCAGCATGGGGCTACAGTACGGCCGTCTCTTATGCGCAGGACGGTCTGCTCGCTGAGTTGGTGTCATCATTAAATTTGACGTTGAGTCTTCATCCATTATTTTATTGTATGGTGCTTTTATTTCGACAAAAAAGATCTGCCGTGATGTAGGTGCTCAGACAGAAATCTCTCTGTCACCAAGGTATAATTCAATGGCACTGCAGTCTGTATTTACATTAGTAATAGAATGTAATGTAATGGACAAAAACAATATATATAAGGTGGCTTAGTTTATTTTAAAAGTCAAATTTATCTTTGTTTGATCCAAGTTCACATAAAGTTATCAATATCTACAATACTAAATTAGTACTCCCCCCATCCCATAATATAAGAACGTTTTTTTACACTAGTGTCATTATAATTATCTTGAAATATATTTTATTTACTTTGTATTGTGGATGATTGATCAAGCATATAAACATTTTTTAAATCAAATGCAAATTATATTATGAAATGGAGGGAGTATATGGCACACACTTAGGCCACCGACAACGCTTGCATAGGCGCTTAGCTGAAAATAAATATGCGAAGTTTAACGCAGCGTCCGTGTTAGAGTCCCTCCTTCCAATGCTGGAGGCGTTACACGGAGTTGAAAAAATGAGAAAAGATTAGATAGCATGTGAGCGAAAAAGCTGAGGCGCACGGGGACTCTTTTTGCATCCACACCAGCCGGAATCTTAGATTCAGATGGAAATAACACGTAACTATCCTGGAATTTAACCCTTAGCAGCCCCATTGTAGGCGCCCGTTAAGGGCTAAGAGCAACTTCAACAGTTCCCCCATCCGTAAATTGGCTTTATCTTATAGGATCCCGTAAAAGAGGTCCTTTCTCCCCGCTAATTTACGAGAAGATGGCCTTCTAGTATCATTTTTGCAGATTGTAACTGCCCGAAACTTCCATCTGTGTCCGCACCGCCGCCGCCCGCATTGGAACACCGTCTCCCCATCATGCCCGTGCCATCCCTCGTATCCGCAGCCGCCGCTCAATCCCGCCGCCCCCACGCCCGCACAGCTGGGATGCCGCAGCCGCTTGCGCCAGCCGCCACTACGCCCGTGCCGCCGGGATGCCGTCGTCGCTCGCGCCAGCCGTGCTGCCCGCAGCCGCCACGTCCTCGCCGACATCCAACGCACCGCCCATGAGTGTCACAGACAGGCGGTTCCTAGTAACTATCTTTTTTATTTAATTAAAAATAAAATAAAAATGCATTTAGGGAAAGAAGTAGGAGAACTGAAAAAAGTTGCTTTCGAAAAACTTTCCTAAATTTTAGGGCAAGGACAAAATAAACATTTTAACAGGGAGAATTTTAAAGGAGCTGTTCAAGTTGCTCTAAGCCCGACCTCTAATCTAGATTCTAGTCACGATACACCAATACTCGTATCTAGATTCTAAGTTTCCTCGTGACTCATGTTTAACTTTGTAAGGGAATCATTTTTAAGAGTATAGTTAATAATATGGCCAACAATCAGTTATAAGGAGTTGTCATGTCATTTATAGCCGACATGTACAATAATAAATTTTATATGTGTACTATTTTATTAGTAGTTGACCCACCTTACAACCTCACAAAGCGTCTTGGAGCTTGTATTAGAGCCCGGTACTGACCAAGAGCCCGCTTTTGTTCTCTCTTCTCTAACTATAGATATAATATTCTAGTCCTTATAGAATGCTTATGTCACCTTATTGTACTTGTTCTAAGTCTGGGGAGGCACTTCCTCTCTAAAAAAAAGTTTCACGAAGATCATAACTGTGTTGTCGGCTCTTAAAAAAGAAGTCTTCGTCCACAACTCTAATATCTACGGACCAGATTGCTTCTAGATTTTATTTTTATTTTTCAAGCATGGTTTTGAATCTTCTGAAAGAAAGCGTGCAAATGTGGAAGGGGTATATTTCAACGAGTGGGCTACTCATAAGTTCCTGAAACTTTTATGGGTGCAAGTTGACCTTTGATAGTTGGGAAGAAGGTCGACTGGTGTAAATGGGAGCCCCTTTTATTTAGACGCTGCTCGGATTAGAGATTAGCCCTCGTCGGAGGCGGGGACGACGAGGCGTCGCCGCCGGTGGGGACTGGGGAGGAAGAAGATGCATGTTGGAGAAGGAAGATGACCAGAGGAGGAAGATGAAGGATAATCTACTTGCACAAAGAAAAAATAAATCAGTCTATAAGATCTGCAAAATTGATTAGATAATGCCCACCATAAAGCACCGCGGAGGAGTCCTGAAATTGGGATTTACTAGTTATTTTTTTTTAGGATCTATTTCTTCCTTTACTTCCATATGGACGTGCTGCCTCTAGTTCCTCTCCGGTCTACACTCTGTGGCCCATGCAATAGTTCACATCTCATGCAAGGACGAAACATCACCCACATGTTTGGCAAAAACAACGTAGCAAAAGAAGAAGGATTTCGTTGCATTTGCATGCATGGGTGGTGAACTGGAGACGACGAACCTGCGAGAGTATCGAGAAGCGTGGTCTTGCCGCAGCCGGACGGCCCCATGATGGCGAGCACCTCCCCCGGCCCCGCGTGCCCGGTGATCCCGCTCAGGATGCTCACCGGCTGGGCCCCGTAGGTGCCGCCGGCCACCGTGACGCACACGTCCTCCCACGTCAGGAACACCCCGGGGTCCTCGTCCGTGCCTGCCCACCGGGCCGGCGCAGGCGCGACCGCCGCCCTCGTGGACGGCGCTGCTTCCACGCCGTCAAAACCCGCCGGCCCGCGACCGTCGACGCCCGCGGGAGCACGGCGCTGCCAGGCGCTCGCCCACGGGAATATCCTGCCCAGCGACCAGCCCGCGCTGCCCCCGCCGGAGCCGGTTTGCGCGTCGGGCGTGCCGCCGCCCCAGCGCCAGAGCGGCCGTGACGGGCTCGGCGTTGGCGCCCACCGCGGCAGCGGCGACGAGACAGCCATGACGCACGACGTATAGCTGATAGCTTCTTGGCTCGGATCGGAGGCCCAATCGATCGGAGCTGGTACATGGAGCAGTGGCTAGCTACATGGCCGGGCGTGAATTAATAGCACTCGGCATGGCTGATGCACTGTGCATTTGTACTCTCCTGGATGCTCGTCATGCACTGTGCATTGTACTCTCTCGATGACCAGAGTTTTTAGGACTCGCCACCCCTGACGTACTCTGCAGGGTGCAGTTGGGTCGCAGGTGGGCCAACTTGCTTTCGGGCCCACCTGTCAGTGGCCCAACTGCACCCTGCAGTACGTCAGAGGAGCCTCGTCCGAGTTTTTATGGGTCTTTTGCTGTTGTTTTGAAAATATAGGAGGAAAAACGTCTACTCTCTTGATGGGGAAAAACAATACAATAATCTTAACCTAAAATAATAATAATGCATTGGACATAAAGTTTTTTTTGAAACGGGGCAAAAGATTTGCCATTTTCATTGATTAAGAAGAAGAGAATTGCACGGTTAATTAACGGAAAACCGAGCTAAAACCGATACAACTCAACCCACGTGACATGGGCACCACCGGCCAACTTGGCCACCGACATGGGACACAAAGCTGCAAAGAAGAAAAGCATTCGTCGAGGAGTCGCAAGCGTCATCGTCATCACCGGTTGCCTCGAATGAGCGACTCCGACTTCACCATTGAGCTCCAACCGCGAAGCCAACCCGCAAACAGCCGCATAGGAGCCACGACGGCACATGCCACCAGATGGCCACACGCGCAAGCAGCCGATAGCTCCGACTTTGACGACGAGCCTCACCAGGGAAATATGCAGGACTTGCGCCGACCGTGCCCTCAAAGCACCTCGGACACGCCGGGAAGAGCCGACTACCGAAGTCCACGCCGCGACCCGAGCTCCTCTCGACGACATCATCGTTGCCAAACAGAAACCAGCGCCCCGCCTCAGCAAACTACACGGCGAATATGCCGCCATCCACGACGAAGATGCCGCAATCCACCAGTCTCCCAGTTGTAGCCGGCTCCGAGACGATGCCCCCAAGGAGGAGAAAGACGCGAAGACGCCTCCATCGCTCGACCCAGCGAATCTGAGGTTTCCCTCCGGAGCCAAAGCCGTGGGGAGAAGGAGCACACCTCCACGGCGACGCTTCCAAGAAAGATCACGGCACCCGCGGGCACCGCCGTCGCCGGCTCCGAAGAAGGCCGAAGCAAAGATTTCTCCCGAAGATGCGCCGACCACCTACCACCACCGACCGCCACCCACCAGCCACCACCTGCTGAGGCCGACCTCATTCTTGCCACGGGATCCCACGATCCACCGCGACCAGACACGCACCACCCCCTGGCCGAAGCCGCCGTCCACCACCGCAGCACCACCGTAGCCACCTCCACCGCAGCAACCCACGCCGCATCGCGAAGCGCAGCACCCAGATCGATGCACCTTGCACCAGATCCAATCGGAGCTGCACAGGCGAAGCAGCAGAGAAGACGAGCAGGATCTCCCTCCGCAGCACACCTCGCACTCCAGAGGAGCACACCCGCCACGCCAGCTGGTCACCGCGCCCGACGCACGCCTGCAACCACCGCGCCCTGCCAGTCACCGCGCCCCACGCGCACAGCCGGATCCGAGCCGCCGCTGCGCGAGCGCGCGCCGTCCACACCCCGGCCACATCAGGAGCCCGGACCGAGGCCGCCGCCCCGGCGCCCCACTCGCCGCCTGCAAGAGGCACGACGCCGCTCCGGCCGCCGCCCTCCGCCCGACGTCGCCCCGCTCAGAGATCCCCCGCTCGTGAGAGGAGCCGCCCGCCGCGAGAAAAGGAGCCCCGCCGCCGCCTGCTCCATGAGAGCTTTGCCCGCAGGAGGCGCCGGCGACGGCGAGGGGTGGGATTGGGTGTGGTGGCCGGAGGCCTTGGCGATTTGGTCGCCGCCCGTGTCGCCCCTGGGGAGGGAGCGACGCGAGGGCCTTTAGAGGGGCGACGTTGGAGAATAGAGATGACCTAACCGTCTTTATTGGACATAAAGTTGTTGTTCGATCGGTGTGTTTGTAGTTTGGGTATTAAATCGGTCTATGACGGTAAGATGGGATGGCACCGGTTAGCTGGCCAGCGTGTTTCCTCATTAATTGGCCGGCGCATCATCATGGCGACCGCAAATCTTACAGCAGCACCCCCATTAATCATCCGATGTTGCAGTTGGACACCAAAACAACTTTCAGAAAGATGCAACAATCGCGCTACGTCTCATTCAGTAATCCTACTATGTTGCAGTGGGATGTATCAAAACAACGTCTTCAAAAAGGTGCAATAGTCGCAGGACAACTTCTTCCGGAAGGAGATGCCGCGCAAGCGTTTTCGTTATCGAAATCCAGCAAACAAGTCGGCAGAAGTCTTCGCCTCGGCATAAGGAAAATCCAACATCACTCGACCTAACCCATGAAGGTTAGATCGTTCCAAGTAGTTGTTGCGGTGCTGCAAACATGGCAACAAAACAGCTGCCGGGTGTGGCCTAGACAGATGAGGAGGCTTGTGAAAACTTGTAGCGTCACAATGAAAAAGGGGTGTGTTAGATGAGTTCCTTGCTCCTCACAAAAAGATACAAACTACTGTGCTCTAAAGGAGTTTCGTGCACGAACCAATTCGTTGTCACCTCAATCTGGCTATTATAAGGACCACGTTGGGGATGAGGCAGAGTTGAGGATGAAGGCCATACAAGAGCTATAAGGTTTAGAGTTAGGAGCGAATAGGGTGTGGGTGTTCAACAATCAGGCAGAGTTTAGCTAGAAAGCTCGATCCCGCAGCACCAGCTATCGCCGTGCTTGATAGTCCAGTTTCTAATGCAGTAGGCCGTCTGATCAAGGACAGAGCTAGGAATGAATGGAGGGGGAGGGGCACTAATTGCCAAGCATTAGGGGGGAGGGGTCTAATTGTTGGTTTTTTGAAGGGTATATACAAATTTTTCTCAATCATGGAAGAGGGCCATGCCTCCTCGCCCCCATTAGCTTCGTGACTGCGTCCGATGGAAAGGGATACCGAACAGTGGATCGGATGGCAGGCTCTCACATCCGTGAAACTGGATAATTACACTATATTAGTCGCCCTTGTAAAAAAAGCAGTCCTATTTTCCATCTTTCGTTCCTCAAATTTTCCTTTCCTTTCATTTTTCAGGTGCAAAGGTACCGAAGAGCCGGTCAATTTAATCAAAGCGGCACGTGCGAATGTACTGCCTGCAATTTGAGACAACAACTTAATGGACACAACGCATTTGTGGACTACCTAATTTGGTTGATCAGATTTAGATCATCAAATCCAAATCTAACAAAAAAAGTCGTTGTTGTACTCCATCCAAATATATAGTTGAACAGTTTCAAAAATAAAAATATATATACTTGAACAGAAAGAGTATGTGCAAGACTGTCGGATCTGATTTGCCTCTTCAACTTTTCTCCGCTGTAATAACGCGGACCAAGTGTTGTGGCATGGTTGGTAGTTAGCTTCAACTTAAAAGCTCCATGTGCCAAGTTAGTGTTCTTCAAACCCCAAAGTCATGCATGCTCACCCTCCACCAGCAACTCATTTTAAAGCAGGACCACATGAATAGCATGCATGTGCCGTGAGGTCATTGTAGTATGCGCACGTACACCACATTTAAGGCTAACGTACGATTGCCAAGCTTTTTTACTTCTGTCACCAATATTTTGGATTGATATTTAATCTCTACTCCTAATGTCTCAGTTGGTAGGTCGCGTTTCGGGTTTTATTTTCGTCCCACCTCACCCGGTCTTTTTTGATACTTCTTTGGTACTTCCTCCCACCTCCCCCTCAGCCGTGAAAAACCAAGAAAAACCCCGCGATCGAGTCCCGCACACGCCCAAACTCCCATCGTTATCTCTACTCCTAATGGAGCAGTTGGTAGCCTCGTACGGTTTATTTTCGTCCCACTATTTTCAACCGTTTTATTTCACTGTTTTTTTTCGTCCCTCCCCCACCCCATCGGTTTAGTTTTGCGTCACCCTCTCATACAACGAAAAAAATCTTAACGGATCATAACTTTCCATGCCGGTGCAAGTTATTTTTAGTAATGTCTTTATGTGAAAGAATCAATCACGATCAATCTCTAAATATCAAATGTAAATTGATTAACCTTACCTTAAATTGCTCAATCACATTAATTAGGAAATAAAATAACCGATTTTAAGAAAATATCTACTCTTAATGGAGGGTATTACATACCAAACATAGGTACGTCATTAGCTCGCTTCCTTCCCTTCTCTTCCCTTCGTCCCTCAGTCCCATGCTCGTGGCGCTGAAGTGGCATCGACAGGCGATGGCGGCGAGGACAGCACGTGGCAGCCCCTGAAGCACGAACACGACTGCACCTCGGGTCTGCCGTCTCCCAAGATATGGGTGAGTTCTCGTGATGCCCACCCTAAACCCTCACGTCCTATAAATTCCTCAACCTCTACCATCTCGATTTCGTCCATGCTCTGATCCAAATGACGATGCAGCTCCGGCCGATTGACAATGGAGGTTTGCCATCCTTCCTCTCAGCACCCACTCCTGGAGGAACGACACGCCATGCCGATCGAACCCGGTCGAGATCACTCACCAAGATTGCTACTCGGAAGTTTTTTGTCAAAAAGTGAAGAGTGGGACGGGATCTGCACTTTTGTTAATATAACATATACTTGTGCATGTGCAGGTTTTGTTTTAAAAATCCAATTTGTTTATCCTTTGTCGCTGAAATTGTTTACTAATTATGTCATTGGTTTTATTTCTTCTAGATGTTGTATATTCTTGGATTGAAGGGACTGTCTGACAAACTGAAAGAGCTAATAGTTGTAGTTTTACACCAATGCAAATTTGTTTTGCTTCAGTGTTAAACATGACCTGCGAGGGACACTTGCATTGCTGCTGCTTGATCCTAGCCAGCCGTCTCAGCTTCTGAGAATATAAAGTGAGACAAACAAGTACTTCTTTGGTGATTTGATTTTAGAA